CCTGCCCATCTCTACCTCACTCTCAGTGCTCTCCAGGTGTACAAGCTCTTCACTGCAATAATTTGACTTTCCTCTGAGGACTTTAAGGAAAAAAACCCCATGCAATGTTAATCCCCCAGGCCACGAATACAAATTTATTTTCCATGGAGCATTTAAGAGCTTGGAACAAGCCACAGATGCTGCGAGGTCCTGGGTACCAGCAGAAACAAAACCCAGGGTGGGGCTCAGCTTCCTCCCCTGCCGTGACTCATTTTAGACTCATCTTCCAATGGATCGATTGAAATAGAGTTGCCTCCTCCTAAGATAGGCATCTAAAATAAACCTGCTGAATCACCGCCCTTTAAGGGGCTTTGGGAGCTCAAGATTCCCCTTGTTATTCGGGGTTTACTCTCTCCCAACCCCCTTTTTGGCGCTCAGGGAAGGACGCGGTGCAGCCCTTTGCGCTCGGAGTTCGCTCCAAACCTCCCACCAGCCTTCAAAAAACGAGATTATTTAACCCCTGCTGGAGTTGTAGCACAGCACAGGCACCTCAGGTGGCGAGGACACCGCGGAGAAACAACGCCTGGGCATTTGAAAACACAAAACTTTCAATCTCTGAGTTGCTGCCCAGGAGGAGGTGGAGAGTCTGTCATGCGAGAACAGGCACGTGGCTCATCTGCTTCCCAGCGACTTTTCCTTTGGCTGTGAAACCCCTCTTTGTGCTCAGCTCCACTTCAGGACATCATTTTTATATTTTATATTCATCAGTTCACCATCAGGGACTCGGGCAGCTTCTTTTTTACTGCAAAAACGCAATTAAGAGCCCCGTGAAAACTCAGCATCCCCTCAAGAGCACATTCTGCTCGAGGCATTTCATCCCTAAACCCCCCTCTCCATTTACCTGCGCTTTGTCCCACCATGCAGGACCCCTGGTCAGTGTGTCTGTCTTTGCTATTCCCTCCATGGTCCGTTTGTCTGGCAAGCAGTTTTCTTTTTATAGCCCCAAAATACTATTTATATTTATATTTATATTTATATTTATATTTATATTTATATTTATATTTATATTTATATTTATATTTATATTTATATTTATATTTATATTTATATTTATATTTATATTTATATTACCTTTCTATTTGTACTTATATTTATATTTGTATTTATGTATTTATTTATTTGTGTGTATAATATATAAATATATTTTTTTAAAAATATAACAATAATTACTTATTAGCCTATAAACAGGAGCTTGTAATCTGCCTTTCACTTTCTGGTCTCTGCAGGAACTGGCAGCTTTTTATGAGAAAAAAAAAAAAGAAAAAAAGAAAAAAAAAAGAATATTTGAAGCCCCACTTGCCATCAGATTTGAGTGCTCCTTCTTTCTGGGCAATACGGGACTGGCAGGGAATTACGGTAATGGCAAGGACACTGCCTGCTACATCAGCAGAGCAGTAAAGTTCCTGCTGCTCCTTCCCAGTGTGGAGCTGAGCCCTGGACTGGGCAGGGATCCCTCCAGGGAGCCCGGAGTGAAGCCCCCCACGAGCCCTGGATGCAGGGAATCAGCACAACTGAGCTGCCAAAACACCAGTGGGGAGATGAAGGGAGGAAAGCAGTGGATTTCCAGGCACAGAGTCCCATCCCTGCGTGAAGAGAGGAGCCTGCTGTGCTGAGAATCTGCTTCCCAGATGCTCACAGGAGCTGTGCTGCCTTCCAGAGACTCGAGAGGTGAGTGTGGGGCAGGCACAGGAGCCTGGGGTCTGCCCTTCCCAGCAACATCCCTCTCCACAGGCTGAGAATTCTCTGGGTTTGAGCATGAAAAACCTCTGTCAGTCCTTTGTGCTGCATCTCCTCGACTTGTTGGCGAGTTTTTCTCCCTGTGCTTAAATTGAAGTTGATAATTTCCTAATTTTCTAGGCCACTATCAACCTTATAATGACCACAGTTTCAACCCTGTTAATGACCAGTTGTGATGGTTAGAGATGCTCGAGGTTACAGCCACTTTCCATGGATGTGCTTGCTTAGTAAAACCTCTCCTTTCCCTCCTTGGAATTATTCCTCCACTTGTTCCATCTGGCGGGAAAGAAAATAAAAAGATCCAATTTCATTTCGGTTCACTACAGGCAAATTCCCACAGTGCAATACCTCTCCATCTTCCCTTCCCCCCACCCTCCCTGCCTGGGAACTGGGAATTTTGGGGGCTTCAGAGCTTGGAAAGCCTTTTTTGCCTGCAGGGAAGTTCAGCTTTGAGGCTCCCAAACGTGCCAGTTGTTGCTGCTCGGTGTTTGTGGACTGAGGGACTCATCCCGAAAAACCCGATGTGGGGACACTCCGAGAGCCTTCCCTCCTCCTGGATGTTACAGGGGTGGTTTTTCCCCTCTGATTAGTGTTTGGGATAGGAATATTACATCCACGTGCAGGTTGGGGATTGGCTTTGCAGCCCACACTTGGAGCTCTCCCTCCGTGCCCCCCGTGTCCCAGTTCCCAGGCTTATCCTCACTTTTCCATCTGATGTACCTTTTCTCCATATTTAGTCAGCTGAAGGCTGAGCTTGGCTTCCAGATCCTCTGAAACGTTGTGTCACTCACGAGGAAACTTGTTCCTTGCCACATCTTCTGCCTGGCAGGAGCTGCTTTTCCCCCCACAGAATTTGCAGAAAGGGCAGCTCAGCTGGACCTACAAAATCAGGGGGTGAAGGAGTGGCTTGACAAAGAAATCCCAGTCTAAATTCTGGGCTTCTAAACCTAAATCTGAATGGTGTCCTGCAGGTTTCTCTCCTAGAGCTGGTCTCTGCAGGGGAACTGATAATTAGAGTTGATGCCTATCCCCATGAAGGAGGGAAAATTCAGGCAAGAAAACCCACTTGGAGTTTTGGGTTGTGCTTAAACAATACTGGGCTGGAAAAGGTTGGTTCCAGTGGCTGAGGCAGCCTGAGGAAGGCTCCCTAAAATAGCCTCCTGCTCTATTCTTACATGGGAACCACAGCAGCCAGTGCAGCTTCTGGGAATCACATTGTCCCTGGTTTTGTCTTCTCCAGGGGGTGAAGAGCAGCAGAGAACACGGCAAACTTCGCTCTTCCCTGCAGAGCAAGCCAGAAACTGCTGTAAATGAGCTTTAATTCACAGCCCAGGACCTCAGCTGGCATCTGCTCCACGGGCAGGGAAGCTCTGAGTGACAGCCCAGCCCCTGAAGATGGGTAGGGACAGATATCCCAAGTGGAACTGCTGAGCAGACACAGCATCAATCCCCACCCAATCAGGTCTCCAAGCCAATTTTAAGGCAGAATCAGGACTGACACAAGGAAATGAAAAAGCATCAGTGATCTCCTCCCGGGAGAAACTTCAATTTGAGAGCCTTTGGAATATTTTTGTTATTTAAATATTGAATCTCCCCCCCACCCCTGCCTTGAAGAGAGGAATGATTTTAACCGGCAACTCCAAGATTTCTCACTGCTTAATCCTGGAAAGGAGGATGAAGACCCTCAGTTCTGTGTAGCCTCACTTGTGCACCCCAAGAAAAATGCCAAAGGAGTTCAACTGGACTTGGCAATGGTGGTTATGAACTGTGCTGTGCTGGTGAAAACTTAGGGACAAAGGTAGGTTTTCTAACATGTTTCTGGATCTTTCTCCTTGTTGCTGGTGCTGCACTTCTGAGACGTTCTTAAAGAGTCTTTTTTCCCCAGAAAACCAGGCAGATGGTGCCTGTAGGACCTTCTGAGGACTGATCCCAGCCCCGTTTCTGCCTGGCAGGGGGGGGTGCAGCACAACAGCCTCGCATGGACACTCCCAACCACCCACCATGGCTTTCCTCCCTGGAAACTCCTCCAACTGCTCCAACTGCACCCACTCTGCAGAGTCTGTGAACATTTCCAAGGCCATTTTGCTGGGGGTTATTCTGGGGGGGCTGATTGTTTTTGGGGTGCTGGGCAACATCCTGGTTATCCTGTCGGTGGCCTGCCACCGGCACCTCCAGAGCGTCACCCACTACTACATCATCAACCTGGCCGTGGCCGACCTCCTCCTGACTTCCACCGTGCTGCCCTTCTCGGCCACCATGGAGATTTTGGGCTACTGGGCCTTCGGGAGGATCTTCTGCAACATCTGGGCGGCCGTGGACGTGCTGTGCTGCACGGCCTCCATCATGAGCCTCTGCATCATCTCCATCGACCGCTACATCGGGGTGAGCTACCCCCTGAGGTACCCCAGCATCGTGACGGAGAGGAGGGGCCTGCTGGCGCTGCTCTGTGTCTGGGCACTGTCCCTGGTGATCTCCATCGGGCCCCTTTTCGGCTGGAAGGAGCCGGCCCCCGAGGATGAGACCATCTGCCAGATCACCGAGGAGCCCGGCTACGTGCTCTTCTCAGCCCTGGGCTCCTTCTACCTCCCCCTGGCCATCATCCTGGTGATGTACTGCCGGGTCTACGTGGTGGCCAAGAGGGAGAACAAAGGCCTGACCTGCGGGCTGAAGACGGAGAGGTCGAGCTCCGAGGAGGTGACGCTGCGCATCCACCGCAGGAACGCGCCCGGCGCCGGCGGCCCCGCGCCCAACCCCAAGAGCAAACACCACTTCTCCGTCAGGCTCCTCAAGTTCTCCAGGGAGAAGAAGGCAGCCAAGACCCTGGGCATCGTCGTGGGGTGCTTCGTCCTCTGCTGGCTCCCGTTTTTCGTGGTGATGCCTCTGGGTGAGTAAAGCGAAGCCCTCTTATCCCTCCCCTTCCCTGGA